CTCCTCCTCCTCCTCCTCCTCCTCCTCCCCCTCCTCCCCCTCCTCCTCCTCCTCCTCCTCCTCCTCCTCCTCCTCCTCCCCCTCCTCCTCCTCCTCCTCCTCCTCCTCCTCCTCCTCCTCCTCCTCCTCCTCCTCCTCCTCCTCCTCCTCCCCCTCCTCCTCCTCCTCCTCCTCCTCCTCCTCCTCCTCCTCCTCCTCCTCCTCCTCCTCCTCCTCCTCCTCCTCCTCCTCCTCCTCCCCCTCCTCCTCCTCCTCCTCCTCCTCCTCCTCCTCCTCCTCCTCCTCCTCATCCTCCCCCTCCTCCTCCTCCTCCTCCTCCTCCTCCTCCTCCTCCTCCTCCTCCTCCTCCTCCTCCTCCTCCTCCTCCTCCTCCTCCTCCTCCTCCTCCTCCTCCTCCCCCTCCTCCCCTCTCCCATCCCCTCAGGTGTGTCGGAAGCTCTCTTCCGCGCAGACAACAAGCTAGCAGCTGCTCCCATCGGCCTGCAGAGATGAGACATTTCAACCCCCACTTAACCCCAACCCCACATCACCCCACCCAGCCATTTCACACCCCCCCCTCCCTTCCCTTCCCCATGCCAACAGGTGTATCCGGAGCTCTCTTCCTGGCAGACAACAAGCTAGCAGCTGCTCCAATCGGCCTGCTAGGGGCACTGCTCGCCTTCCAGGTGCCTTTGGTCTGCCTCAGGTGGTCTTCAGGTGGTCTTCAGATGGCCTTCAGGTGGTTGCCAGGTGGGCTCCAGGTGGTCTTCAGTTCAGATGGCTGGTTGTCAGGTGGGCTCCAGGTGCTTTCCTCACATTTTGTCGTCTTATACCTCATGTTTCCTGTGCTCGTTCCTTCCTGCTGCCTCACTGGAGGTGCCAATAGAGCAGCATGAAGGCATGGCATGGCATGGCATGGCATGGCATGGCATGGCATGGCATGACGGATGAACCCCCTCCCCCCCTCCACCCCCCCACCCCTTGCAGACCACGCGCGTGCGCTTTGTGTTCGAGGAGGAGGCACTGGAGGTGCGCTTTGTGCTTGGCATGCCAGGCTGAATGGACCCCCACCAAACCCCCCCCCCCCCTCCCCCCCCCCTCCCCACCCCACCCCTTGCAGACCACGCGCGTGCGCTTTGTGTTCGGGGAGGAGGCACTGGAGGTGCGCATAGGGCAGCAGCTCGAGTCGTCTGGGGAGAACGTGTTTGTGGGCGGCGAGAACAAGTGGAGGTGAGAACAAGTGGAGGTGAGAACAAGTGGAGGTGAGAACAAGTGGAGGTGAGAACAAGTGGAGGTGAGAACAAGTGGAGGTGAGAACAAGTGGAGGTGAGAACAAGTGGAGGTGAGAACAAGTGGAGGTGAGAACAAGTGGAGGTGAGAACAAGTGGAGGTGAGAACAAGTGGAGGTGAGAACAAGTGGAGGTGAGAACAAGTGGAGGTGAGAACAAGTGGAGGTGAGAACAAGTAGAGGTGAGAACAAGTGGAGGTGAGAACAAGTAGAGGTGAGAACAAGTGGAGGTGAGAACAAGTAGAGGTGAGAACAAGTGGAGGTGAGAACAAGTGAACGCGGAACATGGCACGCTGTGAAGTGAAATTTCGAGGTCTTTTCGGTCCCTTCCTCCCGTCCCTTCTACCCCTCCCTGTTCTCTCCATCTCACCAGGTACGACACATTCGTCAACTGGTGCTTTTGAGTCGACTCAAAAGTCACCCCTCCCTCCCTGTTCTCTCCATCTCACCCTGTCCCCTCCCTGTACGACACACACATTCGTCAACTGGGAGTTCTGGTGGCCGGCCTTCCCCGTGCTGACCTTTGAGTCGACTCAAAAGTCATCACGACACATTCGTCAACTGGGAGTTCTGGTGGCCGGCCTTCCCTGTGCTGGTTCACTTCAAGGAGACCCAGATCCGCCTCCCTTTGTCCCCCTCCTCTTCCTCCCCTCCTCTTCTTCCCCTGAACTTCTTCCCCTTCCCTTCTCTCCGTCACACCAGGTACGACACGTTTGTCAACTGGGAGTTCTGGTGGCCTTCATCCCCCGTGCTGCTGCCATCTTTTGACTTCACTTTCAGCATTCCCCTTCTCCCCCTCTCCTTCCCTCCGGCACACCAGGTACGACACGTTTGTCAACTGGGAGTTCTGGTGGCCGTCTTTCCCCGTGCTAGTCTATTTCAAGGAGACCCAGACTCGCCCCGAGGGGCAGGTGCACTTCTTCCCCATCATCGCGGTACGTGGTTAGGTTAGCCCATCAGTGCTATGTCTGTGTGCATTTGTGTTTGAGTGTGCATGCTGTCTCTGTCCTGCACTCCTCGTCTATTTCAAGGAGGCAGGTGCACTTCTGTCCCATCATCGCGGTACTCTGTCCCATCATCGCGGTACTCTGTCCCATCATCGCGGTACGTGGTTAGGTTAGCTCATCAGTGCTGCTGCTGTTGGTGCAGCTCTGCTGGATATGTGTGCATGTGGTTCGTGTGAGTCGACTCAAAAGTCGGTTCTTGCTGTGCTGTAATCGTTTCAAGGAGACCCAGACTCGCCCGGAGGGTTTCATGTTCAGTTCTTCCCCACATCGCGGTACATGGTCCTAAAACAACACGAGTTGATGGAAGTAACAGCGCATGTTCAGCGCATGTTCAGCGCATGTTCAGCGCATGTTCAGCACATGTTCAGCGCATGTTCAGCGCGTGTTCAGTTCTTCCCCATCATCGCGGTGCGTGGTTAGCTCATCGGTGCTGCTGCTACTGCGTGAAAGAAGAGTGTTTTTGAGACGTCTCAAGAACACTCTTCCCCATCATCGCGGTGCGTGGTTAGCTCATTTTGGTGCTGCTGCTACTGCGGATGATTTCTGGACGAGTGTACATGTGTGTGAGTGCACATGTCTGGTCATGCACTCCTCTTTTGTTGTTCCCCTTTGCAGTACGATGACATGTGGTGTACCCCTTTGCGCCCTCTCCCTGGAAGAATGGCAAGCAGCGGTACGATGTGATGGTGGAGCGCTGCGGTGCCTACGAGAACACATGCCCGGACGGGGTTGATAGGGTGATAGGATACCCTCACACACCCTATCAACCCAGTCCTTGATGCTGCAGGGTGTTTTTGAGAATTCTCAAAAACACATCCTCTCACACACCCCGTCAACCCCATCCTCCCCCTCGTCCACATTCTCCCCCCTTCCCCGCTCCCCTGCACCCCCGCACCCCTCCCCATCTACTGCAGAACGGCAAGCAGCGGTACGATGTGATGGAGCAGCGCTGCGGTCTCTTGAAAGCCCTCGCCCACCCCCATCACCCTCCCCTCCCCCCTCCTCTTCTCGTCCTCTTCCATTCCCTCCTCCCCTTCCCCATCTACCGCAGAACGGCAAGCAGCTGTATGATGCGATGGTGGAGCGCTGTGGCCCCTCCAAGGTGAGGGCACATGTGCCCCACCCCATCAACCCCCTTCCTCCCTCCACCTTTCCTTTCTTTCCCTTTGTATTCCCTCTCATTCACCCTTCCCCATCTACCGCAGAACGGCAAGCAGCTGTACGATGTGATGGTGGAGCGCTGTGGCCCCTCCAAGGGCAGTGGGCCGTCTGCTTGATTGTTACCCGGTTACCGTACCATGTTTGGTTTCTGGGTGGTTATCATGTCAACATTAACTGTTGTTCTGTACACCTTGGCCTTCAACATTAATGTATTAATCCTCCCTGGCGCATACTCTATGGTTGAGTGTACTGTACTGTAACTACTGTTTTTCCTGTCACCATAAAGCTATCCGACCATTTCCACTGGCATCGTACCTCAATGTCAATTCACATCCAATAATGAGAACTGGCACATTGTAACAAAAATAACAGCCTGCAGCTGCAAGCATCTTCAGCAGCCAACATTACAGTACATAACTTATTGATAAGAGCTCCTTGCAATAACAACCCAGAAATCCCAACATTGGCCTAGATAGCAATGTGTGGCCAGCTCCAGCCTAAGCTGTGCCTGTTGTTGCTCACTGTGCTGCTGCTGCTGGCGGTGGTGATGCTGATGGTGCTGGTGGTACCACTGGTAATGGTGGGGGGAAGTCGGTCAAGTTTTGAAGCACAGAGAGGGTCTGAACAGCATCAGACATGAGGGGTCTTTCCTTGGGGTCTTTTTTCAGGCAGTTATAGGCCAGTCTGGCCGCCTTGACCACCCCTTTCACCGAGAACTGGTTCTCCAGCCGTTGATCGACGATCTTCACGAGCATCCGACGGTCGGCAAAGAACGGCGCCGACCACTCCACGATGTTCTGCTGCCCGGGCGGAAAGTTTCGCTCGACTGCCCGCCGCCCGGAGATGATCTCTAGAAGGACAACGCCGAAGCTGTAGACATCAGATTTGGCAGTCAGATGGCCTGAGGAGTGGTGGGAGTGATGGAGGGGGGGGAAGTGCGGGTAAGGGGAAGGGGGTAAAAAGGGGTTTCTGAGGCACCTCTAGGAGGACAACGCCGAAGCTGTAGACGTCAGATTCGGCGGTGAGATGGCCTGGGGTGATGGCGGAAGCGTGGGAGAAAAAGTCCAAGAGGGGAAAGGGGTGGAGGGGAGAGGCAGAGCGAAGGTGTGGCGGAGGGGTGGGGAAGCAGTCGAGTGAGGGAATGGTAGGTTCAAAAGTGGCAAATAGCCTGGCAATCAATCACTGCAAGTTTGACAGATGGGCTGACGAAGGGAAGGGGAGCGGGTGAGGAAAGGGAGAGAAGGTAGGCTGTCCTTAGCTGAGAAGGAAAGGAAAGGGAAGAAGAGGATGGCTTGGCTGGTGGTGCGGTAAACATCTGGTGTGAGGTAAAAATCGTATGATCAAACCCAATGATGCCTAAATTGATTGGAAGCAGCATATGTGTACGTGCCCATGACCCATGTCAACACAGGCGTGTCATTCCCCTCTGAAATTATGAATCAGATCTACCTGTGAGCATGTATTCGGGAGCAGCATAGCCGTATGTGCCCATGACCCGTGTGGACACATGCGTATCGCTGCCCACCGGCCCATCCTTAGCCAGCCCAAAGTCTGATAGCTTTGCATTAAACTCCTGATGAGGGGGAATTGGAGGGGGAGTGGAGAAGAGGAGGGGGGAGGAGGGGGGTGGAGCGGGGATACAGGGGGGTAGAGAGGGGAAAGGGGCGAGAAAGGGGGAATGAAAGACTGGAGGAAGGAATGGGAGAGGGGAGAGAGAGACTGCAAGAGCGCTCAGAGAGTCAGCAATAGCTCTCACCTGTTGACGATAACATTTGAAACCTTGAAGCAGCAGGAGTTGACCGCAGCCAACAACGCAGGCCACGCCAAGAGCACTCACTCACCCTATCCACGAGAATGTTGGATGTCTTGAAACTTTGAACGCATGCTGACAAACTAAGGCTTGAAATCAAACAAGATCTGATCCGGAAGGCGGTTGCTGGAGCTGGAGGCACGGTAAATGACCTGGAGCTTCCAGCAACAGCAGAACAGCAACAGCAGAACAGCAACGGCACAGCAGCAACAGCAGAACAACAACGGCACAACAGCAACGGCACAACAGCAACGGCACAACAGCAACGGCACAACAGCAACGGCACAACAGCAACGGCACAACAGCAACGGCACAACAGCAACAGCACTCACTTACCCTGTCGACGAGAATGTTAGACGCCTTGAAATCTCTGTAGATGACCTGCGCCTCTGTCTCCTCGTGCAGGTAGGCGAGTCCTCTGGCAGCATGCAGAGCGACCTTCATACGGATGTTCCAGGGGAGAGGGGTGACGTTGCCTGTGAGGGGAATAGGGAGGAGGGAGGGGAAGAGAGGGGTGACGTTGCCTGTGAGGGGAATAGGGAGGAGGGAGGGGAAGAGAGGGGTGACGTTGCCTGCGAGGGGAATAGGGAGGAGGGAGGGGAAGAGAGGGGTGACGTTGCCTGTGAGGGGAATAGGGAGGAGGGAGGGGAAGAGAGGGGTGACGTTGCCTGTGAGGGGAATAGGGAGGAGGGAGGGGAAGAGAGGGGTGACGTTGCCTGTGAGGGGAATAGGGAGGAGGGAGGGGAAGAGAGGGGTGACGTTGCCTGTGAGGGGAATAGGGAGGAGGGAGGGGAAGAGAGGGGTGACGGCAGCGGCATGGATTCAACCAACTATGGCAGCATGCACAGCGACCTTCATACGGATGTTCCAGGGGAGAGGGGTCACGTTGCCTGTGAGGGGTGGTGGTTGTACGGGGGGGGGGGAAGGGAAGGGACAGAGGGGCAAACACGATCCATTGGCTCTTTCTGGCAGCATGCAGAGCGACCTTCATACGGATGTTCCAGGGGAGAGGGGTCACGTTGCCTGTGAGGGGTGGTGGTTGTACGGGGGGGGGGAAGGGAAGGGACAGAGGGGCAAACACGATCCATTGGCTCTTTCTGGCAGCATGCAGAGCGACCTTCATACGGATGTTCCAGGGGAGAGAGGTCACGTTGCCTGTGAGGGGTGGTGGTTGTACGGGGGGGGGGAAGGGAAGGGACAGAGGGGCAAACACGATCCATTGGCTCTTTCTGGCAGCATGCAGAGCGACCTTCATACGGATGTTCCCGGGGAGAGGGGTGACGTTCCCTGTGAGGGGTGGTGGATGTACGGGGGGACAGCGGGGGCAGGAAAAGGGAAAACACTGATCCATCACTCCTGCCTAGCAGCATGCAGAGCCACGACCTTCATTCGGATGTTCCATGGGAGAGGGGTGACGTTGCCGGTGAGGGGTGGTGGATGTACGGCGGGACAGCGGGGGAGGAGAGGGGCGTATACATGAGCCTTCGTATGTCAGCATTTTTTTTTTTTCTAGCAGTCATCAGCCACACACAATGGATTCAGTCACACACACTCCCCTCCTTGCAGTCACACACACGCCCCTCCTTGCAGTCACACACACACATGCCCCTCCTCCCAGTCACACACAGTATGCAGTCACACACAGTATCCACTCACATCCACTCACACACAGAATCCACTCACACACAGAATCCACTCACACACTGCCAAGTGCCTCTCGTACAGGCACACGCCCATACGCGTCGAAAGAGGTATCTCTCAAGGCTGCCATACTCCATCAACTCATACGCCAGCAGCCGGTGCTCGCCCTCCCCTCCATGCAGTCACATACTGTCCTATAGCCCCATACAGTCACATGCTGTATGAACCACTCACGGCGGAAGAGGTATCTCTCGAGGCTGCCATACTCCATCAGCTCAGCTCGAATGCCGCAGCCGGTGCTCCCCCTCCATGCAGTACCCCACCCACCCCCGCGTCATATACTGTCACGTGCCCCATACAGGCACATACTGCCCCCTCATACACGCACATACTCCATGAGCTATTAGACTCACGTCTGAACAGGTATCTTTCCAAGCTGCCATACTCCATCAGCTCGTATGCCAGCAGCCGGTGCTCGCCCTCCATGCAGTATCCCACCAGCCGCACCAGGTTCGGATGCCCCAACGCTCCCAGGTACCTCACTTCGGTCTGGAGGGGTGGGAAACGGTGGAGAGGAGGTTAGGGCAATAAGCTATCAGGTGCTCGCCCTCCATGCAGTACCCCACCAGCCGCACCAGGTTCGGATGCCTGAGCGCTCCTAGGTACCTCACTTCGGTCTGCACAGACGGGAGAGGGAGGGGAGAGGGAAGGCACACAGAATAGCTTCACCCCCCTCCATGCAGTACCCCACCAGCCGCAACCCCAGTGCTCCTAGGTACCTCACTTCGGTCTGAAGGCATGGGATGAGAGGATGGGAGGACGGAGAGGAGATTAGAGCAACGGGTTTCCAGAGGCCCCCTCCATGCAGTGCCCCACCAGCCGCACCAGATTTGGATGGCCCAGCGCTCCTAGGTACCTCACTTCGGTCTGCGGGGATGGGAGAGGGGATGGGAGGATGGAGAGGCCTTTAGAGCGACGGGTTACCAGGGGCCCCCTCCTTGCAGTGCCCCACCAGCTGCACCAGGTTCGGGTGCCCCAGTGCCCCTAGGTACCTCACTTCGGTCTGAGGGGGTGGAACATGAGGAAAGGGAACGAAGAGAGGAGGGAAAGAGGGGATGCGAGGAGGATACAGAATCACGTCATCCCCCTCAGCGCAAGTACCCAATCAGCAAGCGCCTTCCCAACAACTTCCTCTCCTCTAATCATGCAGTATTTCACAGTCAAAAGCCATTCCCAACACCCACCTCACAGTTCAAAACCCACTCCCATCCCACTCCACCGCACACTCACCACCCACTCCGCCTCGCCCTGGTAACCCTCCTGGTTCAGCGCCTTCACAGCAACTTCCTCCATCCTCCCCCCACCAACATGCACTCTCCCCTTGTGCACGCTCCCGAATCCTCCCTCCCCCAGCTTGCCCTCCCTGCTGAACCCGTTAGTAGCCTCGAACAACTCGTTATAAGAGAATTGAAGCAGAGTGGCGGCTATCTGGACGCTCCCAGGCGTCCCTCCCTGGCTGCCGAAGCTCGCAGTCTGGCTCGGGCCGACGCTGGAAGTATGGCTGAGGCTCGGACTCGGTCCTTGGCTAGACTCCTGCTGCGGGACCGCTTCCTGCTGCGGCTGCTGATGTGGCGGCTGCTGATATTGAGGCTGCTGATGTGGTGGTGGCTGATGTGGCGGCTGCTGATATTGTGCCTGCTGATGTGACACCTGCTGATATGGAGACTGCTGATGCGACGGCTGCTGATGTGGCGCCTGTTGATGCGGCACCTGCTGATATGGCGACTGCTGATGCGACGGCTGGTGGTGCGGCGGCTGCTGTTGTGGCGACAGCTGAAATGCGGGTGGCTGAAGTGGCGACAGACGGGGTGATCGGGAGCCATTACGTGGCACACCACCAGGCTCCGCGCTCTGCTGCTCACTGGCTGCCCCGCTATTAACTGCCCCGCTACCAGCTAGCACTGCCCCATTACCGAGCCGTTCCGCGTCGGAACCCCTTTGGTCGGCACCCACGCCCGCGCTACCCGCCGGCTTGAGACCTAAAATAACGTCCACGGGAGCTACAGTGTACTCGTGCGCTGCTTCGGACTCTCCGCCGCCCAGCGACGAGCCTCGGGATCTCCGTGCCGCCCTGCCAGCACGAGGGGAGCCTTTTGGGGCTGGCGCATCGATACAGAGGAGAGTATCGATACAGGGGTAGGATGGGGCAAAAAGGAGGGACGAGTAAGTGTGAGTTTATCAACGCTGTACTGCACTCGTCAAATTTTTATGTGCTTGGGGACTAAGATTTTGCTCATACATCGTACTTCATTCGTACTCAACTTCTGCTCGACAAAAGAAAGAAAGGAAGGAAGAAAGAAAAAAACACAGAAACTCACACTCGGACGTACTTCTACCGTCAACGCTTTTCACTCTGAAGCACTCCACTATGTTACTGAATTGTCCAATATGGAAAAGCCATACAATGACTGCCACGTCGTCGTCTCCAACGTACCGGGAGAGCGAGGCTTTTTACTTTGCCGCGGTGACAGAGGCTCTTCGTGTATGGAGAAACATGCCCCCATCCTGATTCCTTTGCATGAGCTGCAGTTATTTCACGTATACATAAGGGTCTCCGGCCATTATTGAATCAAGGCTCAATTGCTTGGATTTTCTCGAGTAATTCCGAAAAAAAAACTCCGGAATCTAAGCCTGCTCGCTTCAAACGGTGAGTTTCGAGTTGATTAGGAGATAAATACTCTAAAGCCTAGGGCTGCTCACACGCGGCGCGGACAACGACTCGCAAACAGGCAACACACGCGAAGCAGCAGAGAATGATTTGCCACAAACTATGGTGTAGAGGACTTAGAACAAAACGCAAGTGAACTGGGTAGTGGAGGACGGTGTTGCCTTCCGCACCTAGAGAACAGCAGCTGTTTCAGTTCAACAAGGGAGGGGAGGGGGACCAGAGTGGACGAGTCACAGTGGGGACCCCCCCGAGTTCCCCGAAGAGTGTGCTTTTGGGTGTGCTGTACTGTACACCAGCAGCAGCAGCAGCTGACCGTGGCCCAGCTTGTCGCTCGATTCAAGACAAACTCGAGGGGGTCTTCGAAATTGGTCAGACCCGGTTGGCTCGGCAGTTCCGAGGTCCACCGCGAGCTCCCTTGCTTCCGAGGTTCGGAAGTCCCTTCAACTTGCTGACCGTGATTATAGTGGCGGAACAGAAAGTCTGTTTATGACAGCCAGCTGGAAGGGATTGGTTTGGGAGTTTGAAAGTCAGGAATTGGGAATTGGGAGCATTGGAGGTGTGACTGAAGCAGTTCACCTGGACCTGAAATTTGGAAAAGGTTGCTGAATGAATCAGTAAAGAGATAATACACTCCTCCAAAATGGAGCTTTATCTGCTCAAGCAGTTTCCAACAAGAAACTAAATGGCGTGCAAAAATAGCAACGCCCCTTTATTCATCTTGGCTTTACATGTTCCCCAGTCACTAGCAACACACCACTATCCAAACACAGAGCTCAGCTTAGAGATAACAGCAGCATCGGAGCTGCACAAATCACTGAGCCAGGCTACCACTGGTCCAATGTCGGGCCGATTTCTACGGAGAGGGTTCAGACACTCTGAAGCAATTTTTGTCAGTATCTCCAGCTTGTGAGTAGGGTACTCTTCCATCCGCTCATCTACTATCAACCCGTAGATTTCGTCCTTGATCTTGGGTATTGCCTGCGAATAAGGGTCAGGTCGGGAGAATGGTATATATGGCAAGAAGGCATGTAGGCTTGATGTATGGAGAAAGAGAGAGAGATCTAGGTAGCAACAAGAGATCCTCCCCCCCCCCCTACCCCCTGCAGCATGACAAGCAAGGGGTTCAGTGAACAGAGCAACCAAGCACAAGTGTGCCTTACCCATTGAGCAAGTGTAACAATCTTGACAGTGTTTCGACCCTCCTTAGCTACCACCTCTTCTTCCACCACTGGTGGTCGACCCGTTATAAGCTCGAGGATGACAACTCCAACTCTGCAACAAGTTCAAAAGTTTGGAAACAGTGCATCCAATACCGATGATGCAGGATGTAAGGAGCAGGAAACAGTTCAATGAATTGCATAACACAAAGTCGCGGTGGTTTCGATTCGTGGTGGTGTGCTGTGTTGTGGCCTCATTACCTACGAACAAATCGCACCTCAAAACACACACCAGATGAAGACTACAGTTTCAGCCCAATAAATGACAGTGTGAATATACCATCACTCAAAAGGCGGAAACCACAGGAATAGAATGTTCTCACTCCCACATGAGAGCACGCAAACGGAATCTCACGCAAAGATCTCGGCCTTGGTAGTGACGACGAAGGTTTGGCAGTATTCGGGATCCAGGTACCCCTTCCTCCGCTGCACGCGCACTCGGCTCGACTCCCCTGGCAGATGCTTGCGCGTCCCCAAACCCCCCAGCTTCGCCTGTCAGACACACATAGCATACATTGTCACACACGGGCACATGTCATACAAGGTTTGGCAGTATTCAGGATCCAGGTACCCCTTCCTCCGCTGCACCCGCACTCGGCTCGACTCCCCTGGCAGATGCTTGCGCGTCCCAAACCCCCCAGCTTCGCCTGTCAGACACACATAGCATACATTGTCACACACGGGCACATGTCATGCAAGGTTTGGCAGTATTCAGGAACCAGGTACCCCTTCCTCCGCTGCACCCGCACTCGGCTCGACTCCCCTGGCAGATGCTTGCGCGTCCCCAAACCCCCCAGCTTCGCCTGTCAGAGACACATGCCATCCATTGCCACAGATGCATGCACGGGCGGGTCAAGTCAAGGCTGCAGTTGACTTGCATTGACCAGAGAGGTCAATGCTCACATTGAAGTTGCCATCCCACAGGATGGTTGATGCCTTGATGTCACGGTCAAGGATTTCCACGGTGCATGATTGGCTTGGGTGCGAGAAACTCCACAGCACTGCGCCATTGACTACCATTGACTTGCGTTGACTTCAGTTGACCAGAGGGGCTTGACTCACATTGAAATTTTCGTCCAGCAGGATGGTTTCGGTCTTGACGTCACGATACACCACCGGCTGACTTCTATGTAAGTAGACTAAATCAGTCTGTTGACTTCGGTTGACCTCCATTGACTCACATTGAATTTCTCGTCCAGCAGGATGGTTTGGGTCTTGACGTCACGGTGCACCACCGGCTTGGGCTGCGAGTGCAGGAACTCCACAGCGCGTGCCACGTCAGCAGCGATCCTCAAGCGCTGCTCAAACGTGAGTGGCGGTCTAGACACTGTAGTTCAGAGGGGTGTGGGGGAGATGGGGGAGGGGGGGGGGGTGGGAGGGAGAGAGGGGAGGACAGAGAGAGGGGAGGACAGAGAGAGGGGAGGACAGAGAGGGGGGAGGACAGAGAGGGGGGAGGACAGAGAGGGGGGAGGACAGAGAGGGGGGAGGACAGAGAGGGGGGAGGACAGAGAGGGGGGAGGACAGAGAGGGGGCACAGGGAGCATGTGGTGTGGGGAAGGGAAGGCTTCATAGGACAATAGAACTTTTAGTTTCCAACAACTTGCAATGGTCTGATACGGAGTTGACCTTTGAGTCGACTCAAAAGTCAACTAGGGAAGGGAGGGCTCCGCAGGACAACCGAACTAACAGGTCACCAGCGGCCTCTTGTTCCACACTCACCATTGCCGTCTGCACGCGGGCGCAGCCAGGAAGCGAGCGAGCCGTGCTGCATGTGCTCGAATATGAGGATCTGCTCGCTGCCCTCGTCGCAGTAGCCCACGAGCGGGAGGAGATTGGGGTGGCGCAGACTCGTGATGAGCATCACCTGGCAAGGGGGAAGGGGAGGGAGGGTGGGAATGTACGCAAGAGGGTTTGTTTTGAGACGTATCAAAACGAGACGTCTCAAAACAAATCTTCATACACGTGCAGACTCGTGATCAGCATCACCTGGCAGGGGGGAAGGGGAGGGAGGGTGGGAATGTACGCAAGAGGGTTTAGGAGCCGCGCTGCATGTGCTCGAAAATGAGTATCTGCTTCCTCGTCGCAGTTGCCCACAAGGGGGAGCAGGCTGGGGTGGCGCACACTCGTGATCAGCATCACCTGGCCGGGGGGAAGGGGAAGGAGGGTGGGAATGTACGCAAGAGGGTCTAGGAGCCGCGCTGCATGTGCTTCCTCGTCGCAGTAGCCCACAAGGAGGAGCAGGCTGGGGTGGCGCATACTCGTGATCAGCATCACCTGGCAGGGGGGAAGGGGATGGGGGCGGGAACGGGGAGAAGGGGGGAGGAGAGAGGAGATAGGGAGGGTGGGAAGGTAAGTAGAGACAGGAGGGTGCAGCAGAGACAGGAGGGTGCAGCCGAGACAGGAGGGTGCAGCCGAGACAGGAGGGTGCAGCAGAGACAGGAGGGTGCAGCCGAGACAGGAGGGTGCAGCCGAGACAGGAGGGTGCAGCCGAGACAGGAGGGTGCAGCAGAGACAGGAGGGTGCAGCCGAGACAGGAGGGTGCAGCAGAGACAGGAGGGTGCAGCCGAGACAGGAGGGTGCAGCAGAGACAGGAGGGTGCAGCCGAGACAGGAGGGTGCAGCCGAGACAGGAGGGTGCAGCCGAGACAGGAGGGTGCAGCCGAGACAGGAGGGTGCAGCCGAGACAGGAGGGTGCAGCCAGGAAGGCAGTGAGCCAGGACGCAAGGAAGCGAGGCGTGGAAGCCCATCCCTCTGAGAATTCAGGGGACTAAAGGCTAGGGATCCCCGTGGAGGCCAGATTCTCCACCAGCAGCGCACCTCGCGGAGAAACAGCGCCTGGGTCTCGGGCTGCGGCTGCTTGCACCGCTTGACCGCCACGCAGCAGCACGCTTAGAAGCAACCCCCCACCCGCGGCAAGACCGCCACCCATCACCCAAATCACGCGCCTCCAGAGCCAGCGCACCTCTCGGAGAAACAGCGCCTGGGTCTCGGGCTGCGGCTGCTTGCACCGCTTGACCGCCACGTCCCGCCCGTCGCGCGCGCTCCCGCGCAGCACCACGCTCTGCCCCTCCGCCTCGATCACGCGCTCCTGCGCGAACTGCGCCGTAGCCTCCGCCACGTCCGCCAGCGACCACTTCTCCGCCCGCGCGCGCGGAATCTCCGCATCCTCGTCGTCGTCCGTTCCGCCCACCACGTGGACTGCGCCTTGCCGGGGCTTCATCCGCGCGCTGCTGAGGCTGCGGGGAGTGGTGATAACGGTGGTGGCCTTTTCGGGTGCGACCGTATCTTCTGAGCGGGCTGCTTCTGATAGGAGAAGCGGATAGGACCGGAGGGGAGGTGGAAAGGAGAGGAGGATGCATGAATACGTTATCTAAGCTGTACAGATTGATTGGGTTGGGTTGGGAGGAGCACGAGCGGAACAGAAAGAGGTGGGACTCGACGTGACCGTGAAGCACTTGGAGAAAATGCATCTTACTGGTTCTATCAAGCAGCATATGAAGCAGCATATTGATGCCGAGCGCAGTTTTGAGGCGCTTCGAAACCGGCCCTGAGCTCTCCGGAAAAAAACGAAAAAAACATAATCTCACTGGTTCGGTGGAGCAGCATCTTGATGCCGAGCGCCAAGAGCGCGACGAGGAGAATCGACATGATCCTTGAGTCGTCTCAAAAGTCATCTCTGCGCCTAGCGTCTTTGAACGACGGTCAAAAGTATCTTACTCGATCGGTCGAGCAGCATCTTGATGCCGAGCGCCAAGAGCACGACGAGCAGCAGCGCCACTAGAACCGAGATGATTATCGTTGCAGCTGGAGGTGCGGACGTCGCACGGAGGTGACGGAAAAAAAGAAGGACACAGGAAGTTAGGAGGGGGAAACGGGGAAGAAGAAAAGTCATGGGAAAGAAATGGGAAAGAATACAACGAAAGGTAAAGAAAGAGGAAGGATTGAGATAGATGTGGCTACGAGAGGAGAGAACGCCGACTGTCAGTCAGTGCCCGTTGGAAAGAGAGCGAAATCAGAAGCTGTGATGCAAAAAGCCGAGTTTCGAAGCTTACAAACTTGCAAGCATACTTACTGCCTGTGCTGGAGAGAAGAATCCGAGGCTACGGCCGACTTTTGAGTCGACTCAAAAGTCAGCTCGGTATAATGTCACACGCTATTTTTGAGTCGACTCAGAAGAGCATACTTACTGCTTGTGCTGGAGAGAAGAATCCGAGGCTGCGGCCGACCTGCCATACGAGCAAGGGGAGTTGGGGTTGCAGTATTAGTTAGCATTTTTTTCGGGGCGCTGAAACTTGTCAAACGACGTCTGATTGGAAATGAGTTCGGTTTATAAGGCGCTTTGGAAAAACAGTATTTAGACTGAGATTAAAATGATTTTTGCTGGTGTGGTTACTTCTGTTGAACAAGATTCCAGTTGTCAACTTGAAAGCTTTGTTCCCGTGCTCGGAATTCGGCCTGTTATATAGTTTCCAGACGCGTTTATTTGTGCGTACCGGCTGTGGCGACGCCTGCATTCACGAGTGCGATGAGTGCGACGGCCACGACGGCGTCGCACGACAGCGGCGCCGATAGTTTTGAATGTTCTGACGACGACAGCTTCCAATGCTCGATTCGCCGCAAGAGCGCCATCCCGTATCAGTGAATCGCGGTGTTATCTCCGTCCGTACCCTTGCCGCGACGAGTAGTTTCTGAGATGCTTGGTTGTGTAACTACCGTCGTCTTATGCAATTGCTGGATGCCGTTTCGTTCTAGCGACTGTTGCTGACGACCTTATTGAGACATTTCGTTCCTCGAATGCGCAATTGATGTGGATGAGTAAGTCAATGGGGCAGGCTGGGAATTAGCAAAAGCGAAACGAGGAACGGACACCAAGAATGATGATCAGCACAATACGTAACTGGTGGGAAAGAGTATGAGGAGGAAGTGATGAAATGCATGGGAGCAATTTTGAGGACTTAGACAGAAGATACGAGATACTGTATGGGGGAGGATGTGGCGCGGTGTGGCCAGAAACGGATTGCCTGCTTGCCTGGTTCAAAAGTCCTGGGCTGCAACAATTATTGTGGGCGCTCGACATTTGAACATGCGATTCGGATCTCCAATCGCACCCGCGCGGTTGGCGATTGAGTTGGACTTTCGCAGCTGGATTTGCAGCGCACAGCGAATGCGACAGGTAAGGCCGAGGCCCAATAAATTTTCTTCCTTGTCCGCCTGTTGCGGTGGTGGTGACAGATCCAATAATTGCGATGACAGAACCTGGTTACCTTTCATTGTCAGCAAATTCAACTTTCAAAAGAATATGATGTAAGGATATATTTCACAAAATACCTTATCGAATGTGTAACGAACTCATCAGAATCGAGGACATTGATGTTGTCCTGCATCTCACGGCCACCCACCTAGATTTCCTACTCCCCTCCCTAGACACCACCTCGCTGCGGCAGAAACTATAATGGGTGGCAATTGGAAAATCCATGGTTGCTGGGAAATTCCGGTTTTCTGCATACTGTAGTTTCGTTTCTCTGCTATGGGCATCGGGAAATTCATGGCAGTTGGGTAGGCTTGTCTAGCAGACCATAGCCTGCCATAGCCATATCCCGCCGATAACCGTTTTGTTACGAGATTTATTGCGTGAGTTAATATCGGCGTGGTTTCCGCATTTGATTCAAACGATACGACTGCGAGAAGAACGCCTGCGCATTCAACTTCAAGGCTCCGTGCGCTTGGATAGTCCGCCTGAATTGCTGCTCTATCGTCGACTCTCGTAGTCAGCCAGTGATTGACGCGGAACTTAAAGTGCAGCATGGAGGGTAAGGAGACCCACTCTCCTGGATCCGCTCTCCGTCGATCAGCCACTCACGACGACGGAATAGACCCCTTTGATGCAATCCTAGATGCTGACGACGGCTCCGATGACGCGAGCCCGTCCCTCACGAAATCTCGGCCGTCCAATCTCTTTCGTCCGATCCAGCAGCTCTGGCGACGACCCATCGTGCGATTCGCCGTCGCACAGATCTTCATCGTCTGGGCTGTCGCAGCGTCGGTTCTCTACATCCAAGACGTCGCAATGTCGCACGAGGAGTCGCTACAACACAGCGACATTTCAGGTCTAGGTGCAGGCAGCGGCCTCGGAGCTGCTGGTCAAGCAACCTTATTGGAGCAGCTTAAAAAGCGGTTTCATGAACGTTGTCCCATGCGCCCACCAGTGTGCCGGCCCAGGATCGACCTGAAGGCGGTCGCGCATAGCGCGAAGCACTTTTACGCGCAAGACAAGCCCGCGGACGGGGAAGGCCGGGGCCTGGGGGAGACCGCGGGGGGATCCGCGGACGGGAAGAATGGGACAAGCGGGGGCGGAGGCGGGGCTGGCGGAGCGGGGGATGAGCTTCCGCTGGTGGTTTTCTTCGCGGGGATTGAGGGTTCGGGGCATAAATTCTTCGAGCAGGTGTTTCGGAACATAAAGAAGGTCAATTTCAGTGGTGAGTTGCTGATGCCTGGACGTGCTGTCCCCTGTCTGTCCGTGCTTTCCCCTGTCTGTCCGTGCTGTCCCCTGTCTGTCCGTGCTGTCCCCTGTCTGTCCGTGCTGTCCCCTGTCTGTCCGTGCTGTCCCCTGTCTGTCCGTGCTGTCCCCTGTCTGTCCGTGCTGTCCCCTGTCTGTCCGTGCTGTCCCCTGTCTGTCCGTGCTGTCCCCTGTCTGTCCGTGCTGTCCCCTGTCTGTCCGTGCTGTCCCCTGTCTGTCCGTGCTGTCCCCTGTCTGTCCGTGCTGTCCCCTGTCTGTCCGTGCTGTCCCCTGTCTGTCCGTGCTGTCCCCTGTCTGTCCGTGCTGTCCCCTGTCTGTCCGTGCTGTCCCCTGTCTGTCCGTGCTGTCCCCTGTCTGTCCGTGCTGTCCCCTGTCTGTCCGTGCTGTCCCCTGTCTGTCCGTGCTGTCCCCTGTCTGTCCGTGCTGTCCCCTGTCTGTCCGTGCTGTCCCCTGTCTGTCCGTGCTGTCCCCTGTCTGTCCGTGCTGTCCCCTGTCTGTCCGTGCTGTCCCCTGTCTGTCCGTGCTGTCCCCTGTCTGTCCGTGCTGTCCCCTGTCTGTCCGTGCTGTCCCCTGTCTGTCCGTGCTGTCCCCTGTCTGTCCGTGCTGTCCCCTGTCTGTCCGTGCTGTCCCCTGTCTGTCCGTGCTGTCCCCTGTCTGTCCGTGCTGTCCCCTGTCTGTCCGTGCTGTCCCCTGTCTGTCCGTGCTGTCCCCTGTCTGTCCGTGCTGTCCCCTGTCTGTCCGTGCTGTCCCCTGTCTGTCCGTGCTGTCCCCTGTCTGTCCGTGCTGTCCCCTGTCTGTCCGTGCTGTCCCCTGTCTGTCCGTGCTGTCCCCTGTCTGTCCGTGCTGTCCCCTGTCTGTCCGTGCTGTCCCCTGTCTGTCCGTGCTGTCCCCTGTCTGTCCGTGCTGTCCCCTGTCTGTCCGTGCTGTCCCCTGTCTGTCCGTGCTGTCCCCTGTCTGTCCGTGCTGTCCCCTGTCTGTCCGTGCTGTCCCCTGTCTGTCCGTGCTGTCCCCTGTCTGTCCGTGCTGTCCCCTGTCTGTCCGTGCTGTCCCCTGTCTGTCCGTGCTTTCCCCTGTCTGTCCGTGCTGTCCCCTGTCTGTCCGTGCTGTCCCCTGTCTGTCCGTGCTGTCCCCTGTCTGTCCGTGCTGTCCCCTGTCTGTCCGTGCTGTCCCCTGTCTGTCCGTGCTGTCCCCTGTCTGTCCGTGCTGTCCCCTGTCTGTCCGTGCTTTCCCCTGTCTGTCCGTGCTTTCCCCTGCTTGGCGTTGCTCTCCCCTGCAATGGTGGCGTTCGAGCCGCTGCTCCACCTCGCCTCTCCCACTTACTTCATTCCCCCTCCCCCCAATTCCCCAACCTCCCCAACTTCCCCTGTCTGGCCGTGCATTTCCGAACCTGCCCGTGATGTCCGCCGCGTCCCCTGCAGTGGTGGCGTTCGAGCCGCTGCTCCACCTCACCTCTGAGGAGACCCAGACACACGTGCACGGCGTGGACGCACGGTGAGTGCCGGTTCAGTGCGGTGATAAGCGGCAGTGCAGGGGTGCGAGCTGGTTCAATGTGGTGATTCTGTGAATGGAGAGTGCAATTGATCATGACTTTCACGTTGCTTCTTGACCCACCCCACACCGACCCCCCCCCCCCACCCCACACCGACCCCCCCCCCCCCCATCCGTCTAACCCTCCTCTGTTTTGGTCGACTCAAATGTCACCTCAGCCTATTCCGCCCCTAGTCCGTTCCATCCTTTGGCTCCAATCCTACACCTGGCTCTAACCCCACGCCCGCCCCCCCTTTTTTTCGCTCCACCCCACATACTCATCCCCCCTTCTCCCTCCCCCCCTGCTCCGCCCCTCGCCCTTCCCCCGTTTCTCCCCCTGCTCCGCCCCTCGCCCTTCCCCCGTTTCTCCCCCTGCTCCGCCCCTCGCCCTTCCCCCGTTTCTCCCCCTGCAGCTGTCCGCGGCTGCCCTACGCGCGTCCCCTGCGCGCCTATGCCAAGGAGATGGCTGTGCGGCTGGCAGAGATTGGCAGCTGTATGTAGTGGGTGGGTGGGTGGGTGGGTGGGTGGGTGGGTGGGTGGGTGGGTGGGTGGGTGGGTGGATGGATGGGTGGGTGGGTGGGTGGGTGGGTGGGTGGGTGGATGGGTCGGTGGGTGGGTGGATGGGTGGGTGGGTGGGTGGATGGATGGGTGGGTGGGTGGATGGGTGGGTGGGTGGGTGGGTGGGTGGGTGGGTGGGTGGATGGATGGGTGGGTGGGTGGGTGGGTGGGTGGGTGGATGGGTGGGTGGGTGGGTGGATGGATGGGTGGGTGGGTGGATGGGTGGGTGGGTGGGTGGGTGGATGGGTGGGTGGGTGGGTGGATGGATGGGTGGGTGGGTGGATGGGTGGGTGGGTGGGTGGGTGGGTGGGTGGGTGGATGGATGGGTGGGTGGGTGGGTGGGTGGGTGGGTGGGTGGGTGGGTGGGTGGGTGGGTGGGTGGGTGGGTGGGTGGGTGGGTGGGTGGGTGGGTGGGTGGATGGGTGGGTGGGTGGGTGGGTGGGTGGGTGGGTGGGTGGATGGATGGGTGAGTGGGTGGATGGATGGGTGGATGGGTGGGCGGATGGGAGGGTGGTTAGCCCAGCATTCGCCTTCTCTGCTCTCGTTTCATCAGCACCCCCTCCCGTTTGTCCCCTCTTTTCGTCTCCTCTCTCCTCACTTCCTTTCTTCCATGTTCACCTGCTAACGGTACCTCACCTGATGAGATTACAGGCGTCTATATATGAGGCGCCTTAAATATAGACCTGCTTAACGGTGCGCCACCTTATGAGATTACAGGCACCTCACAATACCTCACCTGATCTTTCTCCACCCCTCCCGCTTTCCCCCCCCCTTCTCTCCCTCCCTCGGTCCTTCCCACCCCCAACCACACACACACCAGCCGCGTACCTCCGAGCTCGGGACTCCTACCCTCTGGGCCGGGTTCGGACGCCCCTGGCTCGGCCGGACCTGGTGCACATGCTGCAGCTGGACGGGCTGCTATTCAACCTCAAAGTCGTCGTCATCTCCAGAGGGCTGCCTGATGCTGTTCGCTCGGCATACAGGATGGGCTACCATGGAGGGGACCTGGGCCTTCAGGTGAGCACTGAGAACCCTCCTCTCCCCTCTCCTCTTTGTCTCAGCCGGACCATTTGCACATGCGGCAGCTGGACGGGCTTCTTTTTAACCTCAAGTTGGTCGTTATTTCCCGAGGGCTGCCTGATGCTGTACGCTCCGCGTACCGCATGGGCTACCATGGAGGGAACTTGGGCCTTCAGGTGGGTTCCCTATTGCTGTGCTCAGAGCCTCCTCTCCTCTCCTCTCCTCTCCTCTCCTCTCCTCTCCTCTCCTCTCCTCTCTCAGTGCACCGCACCTGGGTGAGTCACATGCTGCCGCTGGACGGGCTGCTCTTCAATCTGAAGGTGGTTGTGATTTCACAGGGGCTGCCCGATGCCGTGCGGTCGGCATACAGAATGGGCTATTTTACGGAGGAGACCTGGGCCTGCAGGTTAGAGAGATTTCCTTCTGGAGCCCTCTCCCTTCTGGAGCCCTCTCCCCTTACTGGGACCTGGTGCACATGCTGCAGCTGGACGGGCTGCTCGTCAACCTCCACCTCAAGGTCGGCGTTATTTCCCGTTATTCACTCACACATTCACGTCCCTCTCCCCCCTTGCCAACCCCCTCGGACCCCCTCCCCCCCCCCCCCCTCACCAGGTGCGTATAGTGGAGGACGAGATGGTGTTTCTGGACACCACCATGCGCATGAGAGTAGCGGGTAGTATGATGCCCATTCGCTCACTCACTCGCACACACCACCCCCCTTCCTTGCCACACCCCACCAGGTGCGCATAGTGGAGGACGAGATGGTGTTTCTGGACACCACCATGCGCATGATCCCCTGCAGCAAGTACATTGTGCTCGACTTTGACTGGGTGGCTGACAGCCCCGAGGTGAGCGCCTGATTGGTAACCACCTGATTGGTAACCACTTGCATGATCCAACACACCTGCCCGATTGCTTCTCCTCGTCCTTCTTGTCGCTAGCTTCCTCTCTCTGCAGCCTCTCCCCCCTGCCTTCCTCCAATCTCCACCTCTCCTCCTCAACCCTTCCATTTCATTTTTCCTCATTTCATTCCACCTTTCTTTCTCTTTCTTTCTTTCTCCCAGCTCGTGGCAGAGCCTCTGGCAGACTTTCTTGGAATGGGGTTGACAGCAGAGGATGTGATTGCGGGGGTGAAAGGCGCCACACAAACCAAGCCCAAGCACCAAACCGAGTACCCCGAATTTGGCGGGCAGGCACTAGACGAGTTTTTCTCGGTCCGGGCGGACATGTGGCCGCTGTTGCTGGCATGTCGGTCGACGCCGTTTTTCCGCCCGCTGCATCCACGGGATTGGCCGATCACACACTCCGAGTTGGCTGGGGTTATGGAGAGAAGGCAAGGTTACGATTATGATTAATTCGCAGCGGAGAACAGTGTACACTACTGAGTCAGGTTTGGGGTGTCAGACATGTACATGTCAGTGCTAAAAGGAAGCGGGTTTGCATCTTTGAAAATTTAGCTGAAAATATTATTTTCAGACACGATATTCAAGTGTTTCTGTTTCCATAAGGGGGTCGGCTGTTGCACGCTCCTTGCACTAAAGCGTATTCCTGGCACTGGGAATGTCGAGCACATTTGGTCAAAGACAAACGAATTAGATTTGGCGGGAAAAACCAAGGTCGGTCTGCTACCAACGGACTCTTTCTTCTCGCTGCTGCTGTGCTGACCCAGGCTGAGGAGACTAGACACTCGTTGACAAATTGGAGACGGATACAGTCTGATTCTTATCCAGCCAGGGTGTTTCTGTTAGCTGCAAGATCTCGTAGACCACTCTGGTTCATAGATTATTCCGATTACCTCCTTGCCAGTCTCTTGTCTTTTCGCCGGATTTACGAAGTTCATGCGACGTCTCCTTGACTACAGCGATGATCCGCGAATCAGTAACGCTCGCATGGACTTTGGCGACAGTTCTACTCCTCGCACTCCCATGGGTCGCGGAATCTGCAGTCCACCGATATAAGGGCGAGCGCTTCTTTCCGGCCTCTGACGCGTTCTTATTTCGGGGGGGTCGCGAGGGTCTCTTTATGTCCACGCCGTACGCTATTGCTAACTGGCAGACCGTCGCGAAAGGCGTGTCTAACGGCAAAGCGTACATTCGGTAAGCATTGAAGTAGTTTTCTTTTTTATTTTACTATTAACCAGCGTCACTCTATTACGTGCGGTATACCGCGAACGCCGTACGGTCCGCTCAACGGTCTCTTGATGGCCACGCCGTTCGCCGTTTCTAATTGGCCGACTGAATGATTTTTCCAACATTGCTACAGTCGCGCGATGTTTTCATCCGTTATAGCCTGGTACCGCTTATCCGTCAAAGCTGTCCTATCCTCGACTTTATTAACACATACAGCAAGTAAATGTGCGCCATATCTAGCTCATATACGAGCAAACGATCAACAAATTGGTAAATCAAAGCAATGAGTTTCGTCTGTTTTCGCGCGTTCCTTTCTTTTTTGCCACCTGATCTGAATCACACTCTCGTCGCCATCAGATTCGACCACCTGGAATTCCATCGGCCGGCAGAAGAGGCGCAACGGTCGCCGCAGGTTGGGAAAACCGGCCGTATCGAAGCTCTCCTATTCGACGTGGAAGATCGCGATCGGATCGGATACGCCACGTCAGCAAAGACGCGATCCTTCTGCTGCACTCCTGAGCTAGTGCAACGCACCGGGTGCAACCCCGGCCACGTCATCGTCCGGCCAAGGGATGGCGACCACCAGGTAAGGCGAGAAGGCCGTGTGTGAAGGAACGACCAGCAGGTAAGGAGAGAAGGCCTTGCGAAGAATATGCAGCTGGTGAGGCGAAATGCCTCATGTGGTGGGAATCAATCTCCTTGATAACGAAAATCCGATGGGTGTTTCCATTCCCTTTCCCGAACGCCCCCTAGCTCCCCCCAATGCCCTCTCGCTCTCCCGCTCACCCGTCCCCTTTCCCCAAGTCCCTCCCTTTTGTCACTGCCCCCTCACTTTCCAAAATCCCCCTCAACCATCCCCTCCCTGCAGTGGCCGCGTGTGGTGGAGATCAATTTCTTTGGCAACGACACCACAGTGGTGGCAGCGCCGTCGGAGATTCGCATCAAGATGACGGGCATGTACTACCTCTGGTTCGTTATCTGCGACAAGAGCATGGCTGGCGTGTCTGTAACGGGGACAACTGTGTGGAAGAACCCTGACGGGTATCTGCCCGGCATGATGGCGCCTTATCTCCTTTTTTACGAAATCATGGCTGTGGTGAGTGGTAATTTCAGTTGTGCTGTTGGCGCAACCTGGTTCTTCTTTTGAGGTGCCTCAGAAACCTGACGGGTATCTGCCCAGCATGATGGCACCTTACCTCCTATTCTATGAGATCATGGCTGTGGTGAGTGCTGGTTCCTGTGGTCAGTTCTATACTTGGCGCGACTTGCGTGAGAAAAGATTGCAGTTAAGACTTGGTGTCTAGAGCTACTGGAGTTTCCGTGATACACGTGCATCACAGCAGTGCTTGTGCTCTCCATGGCCGAGATGGCCACCTGGTTCTTCGACTTCACCTCCTCTCCCCTCACCACACAACTTCCTCTGCGCTCACCTTAACCCCTCCCCCCTCCCTCCAACCCCCGCCCCCTCCCTCTCTCCCTACTACCCACTCCCCCCCCCCCTCTTTCCCCCCTCCTGGGTTTCCCAACCACCAGGTGTACACGATCCTGGGCATCGTGTGGTTTGCGCAGTATTTCCGTTTCTGGCAGGACGGGCTGCAGATCCACACGTGCATCACGGCAGTGCTTGTGCTCTCCATGGCCGAGATGGCCACCTGGTTTTACGACTTCGCCAATTTCAACTCCTCCGGCTTCCGCCCCATCGGCACCACCATCTGGGCGGCGACTCTCGGCGCCATCCGCAAGGCGGTCTCCCGCGTGCTAGTTCTAGTCGTCTCCATGGGGTTCGGCGTCGTTCGTCCCACTCTGGGCGGGTTATCCGGGAAGGTTGTGGCGCTAGGAGTGGGGTACTTCGCGGCTGTGGAGCTCCTAGACGTGATGCAGAACGTGGGGGCGATTGACGATCTGACGAGCAGCGAGCGGCTGTTCCTGGTGCTGCCGGTGGCGGTGCTCGATGCCATTTTCATCCTCTGGATCTTCTCCGCGCTTTCCAAGACGCTCGCGCAGCTGCAGGCCAAGCGCACCACGCACAAACTGGAGCTGTACCGCAAGTTTACCAACGGTCTGGCGATCGCTGTGCTGGTGTCGGTCGCCTGGATAGGCTTTGAGGTGAGAATACAGTTGCTGCTTGTGTGGTAGGTGGAACAAGGTCAAGCAAGGTCAAGCAAGGTCGAAGGAGAATAGACTATCAAGGAGAATCAAGGTGAAGCGGAGGTCAAGCAAGTGGCGGAGAGAAATCAGGCACGTATTAACGAGTTTATCAATCCATCCATTCCCCCGTATCCCCCTACCGCAGATGTACCTGCGCACATAGGACCCCTACAACAAGCAGTGGGAGGGTTTTAGGCCGTCTTATAACGAGTACATCCATCCATCCATCCATCCACCCCTTCCCAATACCCCGTTATCCAGTTGTACCTGCGCACATCGGACCCGTACAACAAGCAATGGGAGGGTAATGAGGCACCTAATCACGAGTACATTCCTTTGCCCATACCCACCTACCCCAGATGTACCTGCGCACATCGGACCCGTACAACGAGCAATGGGAGGGCGACTGGATCACCGGGTGCTTCTGGCATGTGCTCACGCTCATGCTGCTCTGCCTCATCTGCGTGCTCTGGGCGCCCTCTAGAAACGCCACCAGGTAAGCCTGGGAGTGCTGTGGGGTGCTCACGCTCATGCTGCTCTGCCTCATCTGCGTCTTATGGGCGCCTTTGAGAAACGCCACGAGGTATGGATGGGGTTCAGGGTTTAGTCCCCTTGTCGCTGCACTGGGTGCTTCTTGCACTGGGTGCTTCTTGCACTGGGTGCTTCTTGCACTGGGTGCTTCTTGCACTGGGTGCTTCTTGCGCTGGCTGCTTCTTGCGCTGGGTGCTTCTTGCACGTGCTCTGTCTGCCTCATCTGCCTGGTCGCCCTAAAGAAACGCCAGCAGGTAAGCCCTGCCCCCTTGCTTTGCGTGTCCTGGATGGGGTGGAGCTACACTCTACCATGCTCATACAGCTGGTGCTCTGCTGCTCCCTTACTCTCTCTTTCACTTTCCCCCATTCCCCTTGTTTGCTTCTGCACGCACCGCTCTTGGTACGGATACGCATCATCGGAGGATGTGCCAAAGGAGTAGGGGGGGGGAGGTAGCCCTCACTGCAGTGTCAGCTTCTGGTGGTGCTGCATGCTTACACACTTGCCTTTCACTCCTTCCTCTCACTCTTCCGCACTCCTTTTCACTCCCCTCTCTCATTCATACAGATACGCATACTCGGAGGATGTTCCAGAAGAGTTGGGGGAGGAGGAGGTAGCACTTACTACTGTATCAACTTCTGGTGGTGCTGGTGGTGGTGGTGGAGGGGCGGAGAAGAAGCAAGCAGTGAACACAGACGTGTTCTCATTGGATGATGAGTTGGAGGAGGGGAAGAAAGAATGAGGGGGTGAAGAAGGGGGAGAAGTGGGGAGCTGAGGACGCAACTGCTGTGCAGCAGGCGTATGGTGAGGGATGCAGAGAAGAGAACTCTTTCATTGCTACACGTTTTGAGACATGTCACAACCGAGCAGCAAGAGTGCCACCACAAATACCGGCAGCCCAGCGTTACTCCTAATGCTAGTTTGCTAATTTTCCTCTAACGACATCAAACCTCTGTTGCAAGAATGAACTACAGTACACCATTGTATAGCAAGGCAACAGTGTCTACACCTCCCAATGGTGTGCAACATGGATCATTCAGAATTCATTATTATCTAATCAGGAAGATTGTGCACAACGTCTAGGCTATAAAACTGCTGCAGCCTATCGGAGAAAAAGGCCAGCAGTGAGCAGGCACATATCTAAGCAGCAGCACCTGCAAAGGGCTTGAGCGCAACCCGGCCAGAGGCAGAGAGTGGAGGGAGAGTGAGACCTGCAGAACCATCAGTGGAGGCAACCCCGCCACCAGCAACACTACCAGCAGCAGCTGCAGCAGAAGGTACAGCAGCAGCATGCACTATCCGTGCAGTTGGGGGACCAGACAGCACCCGGGCCTTTCCAGGGTTGAGCAGCGAATCCGCCATGGTCCATCCCTCTGCAGCAGCCCGCTCCTCAAACGTCCCAAACAGGGTTCGCGTGAGCTCAAGACTCTCCGACACTGCCCGCTCCACCTCTGCAGATGTGAGGGACCTTTGCCACGCGCGAGGGCCCTTGGGACTGATTTCCTTGGGTGCCCACCGACCTGGGGAGCTGCTGGTCAGGGCTGTTGGGGAAAGGGCCGCTGGGTTGAAGCTGCCAGGAGTTTGGACTTTGGGAGAGTTTCCAGGAGAAAGGTGGTGAGTCAGCAGGGGTTGCTGACAGGTGTCCTGCCGCCATTGGTGCAGCAGGTGCAGCAGCACGTGCGTCTGGAAGGCCGCCCGCACCACGTCCCTTGATTTGGCTCCTTCCTTGAGGACGACGTACGCCCTCCGGTGGCTCGGAAGGTACGTCACAATGTACTGCTCGTCCTGGTGTTGAGAAGGACGAGAGGGGGTTTGGTGGGAGGGGTGGGTGGGAGGGGTGGGTGGGAGGGGTGGGTGGCAGGGGTGGGTGGCAGCGGCAAGCATACCCTGAAGATGGCTTGTATGTGACGCGAGCAGATCAGAAGGGCTTCTGAAGGCATGCATTGGCGACCTGCGCCCCCAGGTCAAGAGGCCGGTCCACAGCCCACAGCAGCACGAGAATGCGCTCCCTGGCGTTGGCCCCGCCCCGTTGGTGCCGATTGTACAAGCAGCACCAGACATACCTTGAAGATGGCCTGTGATGCGAGCAGGTCAGAATGGCTTCTGAACGCGTCTCCAACCCGCGATCCCAATTCAAGGGGTCGGTCCACAGCCCACGGCAGCACGAGAATGCGTTCCCTGGCGTTGGCCTCCCTGGTATGGTATCAATCCCACAAGCAGGAGCAGAACGTACCTTGAAGATGGCCTGTGATGCGAGCACGTCAGAGGGACTCCTGAATGCGTCTGCCACGCGTGCTCCCAGCTCAAGGGGTCGATCCACAGCCCACGGCAGCACGAGGATGCGCTCCCTGGCGTTGGCCTCTGCTAGGGAAGGCACCTGCCCCGTTTCCAGGAAGGAGCGCACTGCCACGGCAAAGCGAGCGCGGTTGAGCGTGGGTACTTGCACGGACTTGACCTGTGGGGTGGTTGGAGGGGAAGAGACGGGAAAGATGTGTATGTGTGCGCGCATGTGTGTGCGGTGTATGTGTATGTGTGTGCGTGCGTGTGCGAACGCGCACACGTTTGTGTGCGAACGCGCACACGATTATGTGTGCGCGCATGTGTGTGCCTAAGTGGATGCGAGATCATTCAGTAGAGCGACCCAAAGAGGTCACTGCAGGGAAGCGAAAAAACAGTGGCCAGGCTGACGTGGAATGTGCAGGCGCATGTGCATGTGCATGTGTGCATGTGCATGTGTGCATGTGCATGTGTGCATGTGCATGTGTGCATGTGCATGTGTGCATGTGCATGTGTGCATGTGCATGTGTGCATGTGCACGTGTGCATGTGCACGTGCATGTATGCATGTGCACGTGCATGTGTGCCTAGCATATGTGTGCACATGTCCATGTGTGTGTGAGTTCATGTGTATGAGTGCCTGTACATATTTTTGCATGCATGTAAATGTGCATGTGTAATTTCATGTGCGCATGTGAGTTCATGAGTATGTACTAGTTGCATGTCTGCTCTGCATGTGTGTGCGTCGCATCTCACCTCGTTGAACGATGCAAAGAGGTAGCCGCAGGAAAGGAGAGCAAAGGTGGCGGCAAGGTGAGGGTTGCTCCTCGCAATGAGAATGCCGGCTCCTGTGCCCATCTGCACGCACGTGAAGTGTACACAGTACAGACATTAACTCAGAAAGAATGACGGAACATATAAGTACTGAGTTTATTCAGTAATGTCAAGCAGAGGATGGCGGTGATGGAGCAGAGGGCGGGCAGAGTGGCTCAGGCGGCCTCCATGGTGCCCGCTCTGCAGGTGCGTGTGTGCTGTGGAGTCGGGGTGCACAGCACACACACACCTGAAGAGCGGGCACCATGGAGGCCGCCTGAGCCATGCTGTCCGCCCTCTGCTCCATCACCGACAATGCTTGAAACAGGCACATACACCGCCTTCCCCCACCCACCACCCACCACCCAACCATCCATCCACCCACCCGCCCCCCTCCGTCTGCCCCACACACAACCCCCACACACAACCCCCACACACCAGGTCAGCGAGGTTACTAATGCTCTCCCCTTTGGCCGTGATGTCTCCAATGTTCTCCCGCCGCGCAAACGCCTTGTAGATGGGCGCTCGGGTCGATGTGTTGGTCACGGCCCCAATGTTCTAAGGTAAGGGAAAAGGAGAAAGGGAGGGGAGGAAGGGGACGAGGGAGGCATGATGGGAGTGTGGTGGGGGGGGGAGGGGGGGGGGGAGAGAGGGAGGGGGGAAGGAGAGGGGATTTGAAGAGTTGTTTAGGAAGTCGTTTGAAAGGTTGGTTGATGGGAAATAAGCGCTCGTTTCATGCGCTGGGAGGAATTGCAAGGGAGTGACCATCGTTTCGCATAGCACAGAACCCACTTAGCCGCACTGCACCCGACTGTTTTGCACTTGACCGCATTGCACCCACCTTGAACACATTGGCGACACAGGCGAGTGGGAGGAAGAACTTGGGGGCGGCCATGGTGCAGAGCTCGACACAGCAGCCGAAATCAAGCAGCATGTTGCTCAGAAAGCGCATCTGCACGAGAGGGTGGATGGGAGTGGGGTGTAGCGTAGTGGTGTGCGGTTGGGGATGGTGGGGGTGCAATGGGGGACCGCGGAATGCGGTTGGGGGGAGGGGAGGGGAGGGGAGGGGAGGGGAGGGGAGGGGAGGGGGGGGGGGAGGGGAGGAGAGGGGTGGGGAGGGGAGAGGGGGGGTTGGAGAGTTGTGAGATACCACAAAAGCACATCTACAAGGAAAAGAGTAGTGGGGGTGGAGGGCGAGGGGAGGGGAGGGGAGGGGAGGGGAGGCGAGGGGAAGGGGGAGGACGGGAAGGGAGTGGGGGGTTGGGGGAATTGGAGAGATTTGAGATACCACAAATGCACATCTACAAGGAAAGAGTAGTGGGGGTGGAGGGCGGGGGAGTGGCGATGGTGCATGCAGCAGCCACAGCAGCCCAAGTCAAGAAGCAGTACAGTCAAGAGGCAAGTTAAAAATTTGTCCGCTACCATCCGATTACTCCCTCACCTGTTTCTCCTCTCACCTGGTGGCACTTGTTTCAGGGCTCACCTGTTTCAGGGCTCACCTGTTTCAGGGCTCACCTGTTTCAGGTCGCAGTCGAACCGCTTCCCGTGGCGGGCGAACAGCATCTTCCCGAGCCGCCCCGCGCCGTCCTTGAGCACCCAGTTCACCGCCAGCGCGCTCGCCGCCGCGCCGCCGCCGCCCGCGCCGCGCGACACTCCCAAGGCGTGCAGCAAGGAGCGCGTGGTGAAGACGCCCATCGCTCCGCCGAAGAAATACTGATGGGGGGAAGGGGAGACGTGGGGGGAAGTGCGAAGAGGGGGGGGGAGAGTGCGGGGAGCGAAAGGCGAGGAGGCGGGAATTATTGTGGGGAAGAAGCGACGGCTTGCGGCAGCAGCAAGCGCGTGGTGAAGACGCCCATCGCGCGGCCGAAGAAATACTGATGGGGAAGGAAGGGAGGGAAAGTAGGAAGGGAGGAAACTGTAAATGGAATGCGGGGACGAGGGAGATGAGGGAAGCCACGTGAAAAAAGAAGAGTTTTGAGACGTCTCCGCAAATGGAAGAAGAAGAGTTTTGAGAGAGTCTTCTTTTTACAACTGTAAATGGAATGCGGGGACGAGGGAGATGAGGGAAATGGAAGAGGGATGGAGACGGGACGGAGTGTGGGAAGGGAGTGGCGGAAGGGGAGAAGTTTCGGGAGGGAGGGAGCGTGGGGGGAAAGAGCGCACGGTGAGTATGCGCATGAGTCCGCCGTAATAGTGCAGCAGGAGAGAGAGGCGGGGGCAAGGAACCACCTGGAACTACCCTCCCTATATAATCAACCTGCAAGTACCCTCCCACTAAAGTCCATCTGCAAATGCCCTCCCGCTATAGTCACCTGCAAGGCGCGCCATCGCATGTACGGCACGAACGACGGAGCTACGCTGTCCGGAAACCCCTCGGGCAGGAAATTCGTCTTGAAAAAATCGGTTAGCTCCTGGAGTACAAAATAAAAAAAGCAGGGGGGAAAAAAGAGATGGGCTTCGGAAGGTGAGCGGGGGGAAGGGGGGAAAGGGGGAAAGGGGGGTGTTGGGAGGGGGGGCCGAGGGTTTTGGGAAGAAAATCAAATTTGGCGACTTTGGGTGCTAACTAGGGCACGAATTATCAGCGGACTGATCCGCGCATTCCCTACGGCGTCGCGCACTCACCATAACCGCGTCTGCGCGCTCCCCCACGTCCTGGATAAAAAACGGCTTTCTCCGCCGCCCCTTGCGGCCCCTCCCCGCCCCCTCCGTGCCATCCCCTCCCCCGCCGATCTCATTCGCTACATACGCCTTAGTGGATCCGCCCACGCGCTCCCAGCACAGGACCGGCGGACCCGATAGGTCTTTAATCGCCTCGCTTCCGTCACCAGACGCGGCCCGGGTATCGCCTACTACCGAGCCTTCATCCGACGCTGATCCCCGAAGCTGGAAAGCAGCCTCGGAAGGAGCTGTCGCTAAATCGTTCGCCGCATTCGTTGGCTGCTGCTGCGTGGCGGCTCGATTAAAAATCATGGAATTCTCTTTGGAGTGAGAGATTCTAAGTGGTGGCATGGATACTGTCGTATTGTGGGAAATTGGAGCTAATCCGTCAGCGACAGCGCGAGAATCAGACGTAAAAGCTGACGTTGACGTTGACACAGCGGCTCCGCGCGGCGGCGACGCCGGGCGTCCCGATTGAGCGTAAAGCAGCTTCGCATTCGAGCGTCGGGGCTTTCCAGACGGCTGCGCGCTATTTCCGTTACTTTGGACGTCAGACCGTCGGATCTCCATTCGCACCCTCGTGGGCGAACGCTCGAGCGATCGCTGGAGAAGACGCATGGCCGGTTACCGTTACAAGGACTTGGAGGATGGATCGATGAACGTAGCACGCGACTGATCTAGCTCTTACACGTTACTTAGAGGCGATTCGAGTGATATCGCTTGCTGATTGCGCTACGGTCAACTAAGCACTACCTGTGTGCTGATGGCTGGAACCACCAGACTAAGCCCAAAAAGAACCTAACACTGCGTGAAACAACGGAGGAAAGGGTGGGTAAGTCGAAATCACTTCTGCCGCATCTATCCAGTCTTTTCACCTCCTGGTGAGATTTATCAACAATCTAACAGGAAAATCAAGAACCAAGTCGCATTCCCAAGGGACGGAGGAAATAAAGGGAGATTACGGAAGATCACAGTAGACTTCGTAGTTTAGGTGAGATACAGAATTCCACATGGCCGTAAAATAGGTAAGGGAGGGTACGGTAGGAGAAATGCATGCGGGTGGGGATCACAAATGAGAGGGAAGGGGGAAGACGAACACAGAAACAGCTGCGCTCAAAGCTCGCTGATGCGCAAAGCCGACTTCGCGCGTGCATTACAACGAGATGCGAAGAGCTGCGACAGGTGACCGAATCAAATGGTGGAATGCGCGACAAGGATGAGCGGTTACTGGCTTCGCGAGTTGTTGTGTGGCAGTTGTGTGTCGAGGAACCCAAGGGCGAAACGGCCGTGGGAGTGCATGCGACAGCTGGTCGCAAAATCTGGCGGGATGAGCGGAGGATGATTGGACAAGAGCCATTGATGTCGAGCGGATGGACGTATGAACGGCTGGCTGCGATTCACAGCTGGTTGCGGCAACGTCCCTTGGTGGTGGTGTCGCAAATTCCCCCTCCGCGCGGGCATTGGCTCGGCGCTATTGTTTCCGAGTCCGCAAAATCAAGGTGGTCTGATTGGTGGAGCGGAAGCAACCTCGGGTGTTTGAGGTTGGTGCGCAGCTGGCTCTTTCTTCCCCCCCGCAAGCTGACGCTTCCGTTACTCTAGTCGAGAGCCACGAGCAGCGCTCCGACCCAAACTATTTGGGAGGAAATTGCAGCTTCCTCGTTTGCTGACGCCGTTTGTGTGATTGCGAGGAACAGCGACCAAGAGATGCGGCGCGGAATGTTCGTGACGCGACGCCAAATCAGCAAAAAGGTGAGCCCCCTCTGGCACGTGGCGCGATGAGATGCTGGCGTGTGCCAGGGCGGTAATTGCACCCAATCGCGGCCTTCACTAAGAGAACTTCGAATAACCCTTATCTGCTCAAGAAACATCTGTCAGGAGGCTTCACGAGCAATAGCCTCTGTATTACACAAACGAGTCTTACAAATGATCTTATACGGTGTATCTGCATCTTCACCTGGAAACAACAATTCTGCCACAATTAGCATGTACCAGTAATTTACGTGATTTTCAGCGCCACCAAGAATCATTTCCTCACAGAGATACTGGAACTTGCTAGCATCTGTCATCAGCTCTCCTACAGCTACCACACCAGCAACACACAAACCAGACCAACTACAACATCTCATCCCCTACTCATTCCAATTTCCAACCCTTGTCTCTCCCCCCCCTACTTGTCCTTATCCTCGTGCCGCTTGGGGCCCCTCGATATAAGCACAAGGAAGAAGAAGCACGCAGCATAAATCGCATACGCGCCAGCAGAGGCATTGGGGGGCAGGTCGAGCATGGCACGTTCAAAGATAGTGATGTAGGCGTGCAGCCCCACCCCCAGCGCCACCAGCAGCTGCAACACAGCGCGCAGGCGAATGAACTTGCCCTGCCCTCTCTCGGACGAGCGGATCGTCACACAGAGAGACAGGCCCTGAAATTATGGAGGAGTGGTGGGGGGGACAGGAGGGAGGAGGGGACAGGGGCAGGGGTGGAGTGGGGTGGGGTGCGGCGGAGGGGGAGGGGGAGGGGGAGGGGGAGGGGGAGGGGGAGGGGGAGGGGGAGGGGGAGGGGGAGGGGGAGGGGGAGGGGGAGGGGGAGAAGGAGGGGGAGGGGGAGGGGGAAGGAGGGGTGGAATGGAGAAGAATGAGCATAGGGCTGAAGTGAACACCCATGGGTCGAAAGACGGTGATGTAGGAGTGCAGCCCCACCGCCGGGGCCATCAGCAGCAGCCCCACCTCTGACACACAGGAGATGGAGAGAGAGAGAGAGAGAGAGAGAGAGAGAGAGAGAGAGAGAGAGAGAGAGAGAGAGAGAGAGAGAGAGAGAGAGAGAGAGAGAGAGAGACCCTGGGCGAGGAGAGGCAGAGGAGCTCGGGAGAATTATGGGGCACGCACATACTCGAGGTAATTTTGCAAAAACACTTGCCTGGAGGGCGAGGTAGCAGAAATAGCTGCCCCCTTGCAGCAGCTGCACTAGTGATGCTCCACAACCCAACACACTCCAGGAAATAAACGCAACACACTACATGTGATTTCAGGAAAGCACTTGCCTGGAGGGCGAGGTAGCACAGATAGCCCGCTCCCTGCAGCAGCTGCAGCACAAAGTAGTTATGCTCCGCGACCTTCTTCAGACTCGCCATCGGCTCCGCGCTTATAACGAAGCACGCCACAAGGAGTACAAAGCAGTAGAGGAACAGGTAGAGGTTCGCCAGGTGCACGATGCGGCGGAGAGAGAGGGCCGCTCGCATGCGCACGAAGAGACCGATGACGAGCGCGAGGGGGAGGAGGAGGAGGAGGTAGGAGAGGAGAGTGGCGAGGAGCGGGGATGAGGAGCCGAAGTAGGGCGTGATCTGTGAGGTGAGGTGCGAGCTGGTCTTGAGGAAGGCCAGGCGGGACGTGCGGGCGATCTGGGATATGTGTGGCAGCACGTGCTTGCTCGCCTTGTCCTGATGGGGGGATAGGAGAGGGGGAAGGAGAGCAGGGAAGGAGTGGGGAGAAGATGTGTGGGAGAGGAAACAGAGGCGGGACATGCGGGCGATCTGGGATATGTGTGGCAGCACGTGCTTGCTCGCCTTGTCCTGATGGGGGCGGAGGGGGAGTTGGAAGGAGAGCAACGAGGGGCGAATACATGTGGGAGAGAACAGAGGGTCGACGAGCGGCCGAACTGGGAGAGGTGTGGGAGGATGTGCTTGCTGGCCCTGTCCTCATGATATAGCTCAGCCGACAAGCGACTCCGCCCGGAGGAGCTCGCTGCCCGCGGGCAAAAAAAATAAAACCCATTCGGGCATGCATCCGGTCAGGGAGGCATCAACCCTAAACACAGGGAGGCATGGATTTAGGGTTGATGCCTCCCTCGGATGGCATGCCATCCGATAGGGTTTTAGTTTTTTTCTGCCCGTCGGTCAGGTCGACAGTGGTCGACGCTCCGTCTCTCAAGCGCGCTGCACTCCTCTCAACCGCACTGCACCCAACACAAACTGACCTTCATGCCCATGAGGGTGGGTTTGAAGTTCCTCCGGATCCCCATCACCTCCTCCATGTACGACGAGTGGGCATCAGCGTCCGCCACTGCGCCTGCCTCCCTGCACGCCTCTCAACCGCACTGCACCCACCACCACAGACTCACCTTCATGCCCATAAGGGTCGGTTTGAAGTTGCGCCTGATACCCATGACCTCCTGCATGTACGACGAGTGGGCATCAGCATCCGCCACAGCGCCTGCCTCCAGCTCCATCTGCTCCTCCTCACTCATTCTCACCGCCACATCCTCCTGCAGGTGCTTCAATATCTCCATTTCCTCCTCACTCACCACCGCACCCATGCCCCCCCCGTCGCGCACGACTATGTTCCCCCCTTCCCCCGCGCCCATGCCGCCTTCCCCCGCGCCCATGCTCCCCCCTTCCCCCGAACCTGCGCTCCCCCCTTCCCCCGCCCGCCCGAACACATCGCCACCCACCCCCGCGCCTGTAATCGGCTCCGAGCCTCCTTCCGAACCTCCAACTGTACCAGCCCCACTGGCGGTGCTGGTGCGGTCAGTCACACCTGATCCGGGAATCATCTCGTCTTGTCCCGGCGTCACTGCAGCTCCTGCCATTTCCTCCTCCATCCCTGCTGCTCCTGCTGTTCCTGCTGCTCCTGCTTCTCCTGCCCCACCTGCCCCGCCTGCATCGGCTGTGTTGGCTGCGTCAGCTGCATCAAACTTTCCATCTAGCTCCGCTGCTTCTGCCCGTTCTTCTCGCTGCACCTGATTCTCATCATCTATCTCCTCCGATTTCTCCATGTCATTCGCCTCATCCACCCCACCGCTCCCACCACCACCCTCCTCCTCACTCTTCCCCTCTATCTTCTCCTTCTCCCCCAGCTCCTCCCCACCCTCCACAAGCCTCTCCTTCCTCCCCTTCTTCTTCTTCCTCTTCTCCTTCTTGCTCTTTTTCTTCTTATCCTTCCCCTTCCCCTTCTTCCTCACCCCCATTTCCCCCTCATCACCTCCCTCCCTCTCTCCCTCTCCCTCACCCTCTCCCTCTCCCTCCTCCTCGATCTTCTTCTCTCGCACCCTAATCCCCTCTTCGCCCTCCTCCCTCTCGTCATCACCTGCTGCCTTCGCGCGCGGTCGATCCTCCTCGTCTCCCTCCTCACTCCCTTTCCTCCCCTCATCATCCTCGGTGCTCCTCCTCTTGCCCCCCTCACCCTCCTCCCCAATCTCTTCCTCCTTCTCCCCTCCCTTCTCCCTCCCTTCTCCGTCCTCCTCCTCTCCTTCCTCCTTCCTCGCTCCCTTCTCCCTCACTCCACTCTCATCCTCCTCGTCCCCACCACCACGCTTTCCCCTCTTTCCCTCCTCCTCCCCCACGTCGATATCTCCCCCTTCTTCCGCATCTCCCCCCCTAGTCCCCCGCTTCCCCGCAGAATCCACAAGCAAATCTTCACCCTCTTCCTCCCCCCGCTCCCTTCCCTTTCCGCGCGTCCGCTTCGACACGTCATCATCGCCTCCTTCCGCGTCATCCTCCTCCTTTTCCGCGCGCGGGCCATCGTCTGCCTCCGGAATCTCCGGAGTTTCCTTCCTCACACGCCGCCCCTCGCCGTCCCCTTCACCGTCCCCCTCTGTTTCCGCCTCTCCCTCGTCACCATCCTCACTCCTCTCCTTCCTCTGCATATCCGCCTTCCCCCCACCCTCCCCCTCGCCGGCATCATCTTCAGCCGCGTCCGCCTTTTCCGCCTTCCGCTCCGCCACTTCGTCGTCATCCGCGGGGGGAACTACATTTTCGCGCTTCTCTTCCCCAGCCTCAGCCTTCTCTTCCTCCTCCTCTCCGCGCTTCTCTCGCTTATCCTCCGCGTCGCCCGCCAACTCTCCGCCTTCCGCGCGTTCCGCGCCCTCCGCAGATTCCCCTCCGCCTTCCCCTTCCTCCGCCGCGCTTTCTCTCGCTCGTGAAGGAGTCTCTTCATCATCCCTTTCCGCATTCATCTCCGCGTTTGCTTCCGCGTTTGCTTCCGCGCTTCCCCCGTCATTCCCCTCCTCTCGTCCCCCTCCGCGGGCCTCTTTGTCGCTATCCGCACTTCGCGCGACACGATCCCCTCCCTCTTCGTCTTCCCCAAGCTGTGACGTCACCTCCTTAATCACCTGCTGGAGTTCCTCGGACCGTCGAGGCATCGCGTTCTGTCGACGAAGCTTCGCCTTCTTGCTCGAGTTTTTGCTCCCCGACTTCTTGCTCTTGCGACCCTTTTTCTTCTTCTTCTTTCCCTTTCGCTTCTTCCGCGATCCTTCCGACACATCTCCGCCATCCCCGCCAGAATCCCCCGAACCGTCGCCGTCTTCGTCAGATACTTGGAGCAACCGACGGGAAACGCTATGCTTGCCGGAAACAGGCTGCATGACGCTTAGCTGACGGCCGTGCATCCATACCTGAACGTTAGAGTTTAGCGAGCTCGTCAGATCTGAAGTGGTCAATGCCTGGTCGTGCAGTTTCGCTTCGACGAGAGCAGGAAAAGCGTGGCCTGCTATTGTAACGACCGCGAGAATGAAAGGAACCAGAAGCTTCCAAGCCCCCATGGCGAGAATGACTGCTTCCGCGAATATATTAAATCGTACGCATCGAAGAATGGGGTCTAACGACCGGATTCCTAACCTAAAGTCAGACTCTTCCTAGCCAAACCTCGCCAGATTATGGCTGCCAAGATGATTCTGCCAAGATGAACCTTGGAGGTTCTAGAAGGAACTCAGCTGGGTGGATGTGTTGAACAGTCATGCCAGAAATTTGACAGGCATGGGGATGTGTGCGAAAGTTTGGAGGTTGCGAATTCGAACAACGGACAAAATCAATGTAAGCGAAGACAGTCGTTAGTTGGCGAAACGATCGCCAAGTGATGTGATTGGTTGGTTGGTTGTGGTTGTTGAAATAGTGAGTGGATGCATTGACCTTGTTGGTAGGATCCAGGATCTGTCCTCGTTATTACCTGGTTTGGCCCAAGGATTGTCTCAATTCGCCCAAAAGGCTCGACAAAGAATGCACTGAAGTTGAGATACTTCAACGAGCTTGACTCGCTGGTGAAGAAATGCACCCGCTCATTTCCAATGCACACACAATCTTAGGAATAAGACTAGCAAAGAATTATGTACAAGGGCAAGCTCAAATCCAGACAGAGCTAGGCTAGATCCTTCTAAGGTCACCTAGCCAATGAATGATCCGATCAGCCAGGATTGTTGCACAGCAGCATCAACCAAGAAGGCAAGTCGGCCAGCAATATGCTGGGACTATCACAGCGGGTTTTGGAAACTATAAACTTGGCCTGCTCGGCGTGCAGAGCTTGGCCATCAGGCAGCACCAGCAAGTCCTTGGCCCCCAACAGGACCTATCAGGTAAAGGATCTCCAGGAAGAGACCAACGTTCAAGTTTCGGTGTACGGCAATTGCCAGGCGTCAAGGTACTGAAGCATCTTCGCGGAGCACAATTGTTGATGTGCCGCCTGCTGGGCCCGTCTGGCCTTGCGAGTCTCGCTGTTGTGTGGCCGACGCGAGTACTCCTCGAAAAATGCTGGGTTTTGTTTCTCAAGCCCCTTCCACACTGCACAGAACAAAACAGACAAGGTCTTAGAATTGCTCAGCTCAGCATACACATTGCAGACATTACCTACATTGTGATACTGCGTCCTCTCGGAAGCCTGAGAGCAACATTTCGAGCACTGGTTGGCTAACCGATGCTTGGCCATCCCAATTCTCACCTGCTAAAGTAACAGCGGGGTCGATTCTGGCCCGCCGTGCTAAGGTGTACACGCACTCGTCGCGGCTCAAGTCGATGAGTAGGCATCGCTCTATTAGGCATTGAACCTGGAGGGAGACAGACATGGAATGGAGAAGAGATGAGTGTGTGCGTCATAATGAATGGTGGAGAGAGTGAGGGAAGGCGCGAGATGAAACCGTTTATGCGTGTGCGTGTTTGTGTGGGAGGGTGAGCGAGAAGAAAGAACGCGTGAGAGAGAAGCAAGGGGTCAGGTTCTTCCAAATGAACGTTAAAACGCAAATTTGATCGCAAGTGAGTCGAAAATCGACGCCCGAAAGTTACGAAGTCTGGTTCGTTGCAAGCACGGGAATGGTCCGGAGATGCGAATTTATGCCCCTAGGACCTACCATGAGGACATAATCGCCAAAATTCTCCCGCGAGTTCGATTTCCATGAAGACTGCGCTAAGGAGCTTTGATCCATGGTCGAGCGGCACCAGCGAAGCGAACGTGAAGCAGAAACAAAAACACAGGATGGAGCGTCAAAAGAAGGTCGGACTTTGAGCTAATGTGATCAAGCCAGAAAGGCCTGGGTTTATAATCTGGCCAGGGGGGGAAAGGCGTGGGACTGGTGGAGAGAGGAGCATTAGGCGGCAAGCCAGACACACACTAGATCATCCGCAAGACGTAAGGGAGCGATCAGGCCTTGGGATTGGCCCTACGCAGAAGCACACTGCCACGATGGCACACTCATAGCAGATGAGGTGAGTCGACTCAGGCTAGGTGGCCGCATGCTTGTTGAGAGGAGCACGTGAGGCAACAACGAGTGGAACGAGCGGGAACCAGCTTGGTTTGGGTTGGTGGATCATCCGCATGCGTCTGCTTGGTCCAATTATATCGGAAGCGTCCAGCGCGATCGGAAACAAGCAACCAGGCCACGCCACGAGGCAGGTTGTGCACAGGTGGTCCCAGTGGCAGATCCGCTTGGTGGATAGTCCAAACCTACGGTTGTGATGGTGAGGCGAAGCTGGGCCGCAGCTCAATGCTGGGACGATATTGGACAACAAACCCGCGGGTGTTCAGGGTGGGGGGGAAGCCAGTCAGCAAAGGCGCACTCAGATTCGCCACTTTCCCCTCCATAGCGTATCTTTTTGGAGGTCAATAAAGCTCTTTAATTGGGTGGAGAGATGCCTAGCAGCTTTATCCTGCCTACGTGGATGTCATCCTGTTAGATAGTTTGAAAGAGGAGACGGGTGGTTTTGCCGCCAGCAGGTGTCGAGTTCTGAATGGGGAAAAATATCCCATGTTAGAAGTCCGAACCCTGATTGGTCAATGGTGACAAGCACATAATGCCAGCCAACTCATGTCTGAGCCAGTCGCCTTGTTTCACGCCTGATTTCAGTATGGAACGCCTCGTTACGAAAAGCGAACCTTTTGTAGTTTCAAGAAATCCATGCAGATCAAATTATATGAGAAGCAATTATCCGTTTCAAGCCTGAACATAAACTGCGGACAAATGGGCGAATCGCTGGACGGATAAAATGCGCAATTTTTGCGAGTCGCGCATTTCTCATCGCCCGTTGCCCAAACGGACAATTACTGACGAAATCTACGGCTGTCAAGTAGCATCGTAATAAATCAATGTTGAGCAAAAAGGGTGCTTGAACAATTCGACATTTCACCCCCTTGAAATTCCCTCCCCCCAATTTTCACCCCCATCACCCCATGTCGCCCCTGTCCCACTTCATCTTCCAAGCATAAGCTAATCAATTCAACTCATCGGTCTTGCATCGTCGTCTTTGACACGTTTACTTCGAGATTAGAGCAACGTTTGCCTTCTACGTCCGTCTTATCCCGCTACCCGCTACGTACAGGAGACGGCGTAAGTAGCAGTCGATACGCCATGGACTTATACTACAGCAATGACTCCTTCGACTGCCACAAAGTCCGCATGATGCTCGAAGAGAAGGGCCTCCCTTGCCGGCTGTGCCACGTGGACTTTGTCGGAGCGGCAAACCTCGAGCCATGGTTCTTGCGTCTTAATCCGCAAGGAACAGTCCCTCTGCTCGTTTACGGAAGCAACACAATCACGGACACCAACGAGATCCTCAGGTTAGTGACTCGAGTTTGTACTCTTAGAATTAACCTGCCATTCAAACGCTTCGCCATCCTGAACATGCTGCGAGAGTGATAATCTGAGTTTCAAGAGAGAGCACCACCACGTTAGAGTTTATTGGCCTCTTTCTTTCACTCTTCTCGTTCTCATGTTCAGTTGCACCGTTACCATTTACCAGCTGAGGGCACCGTTCCCCGCGTTTTGAGACGTCTAAGAAAAATGTTCAGTAGCGGCCTTACCAGTAACCAGCTTACAGCACTGTTCCCATCGCATCACTATCTTACCAAATGTTCCTAGACAGCATCGCACGTACAGATTGTGACGCGGAACCTTTTCTTTCAGATTTTCATGTTAGATTGGGGCTCTGTTCCCCCATGAGTCCAACTGGCTATGCTCCCACCACAACATTATCCCTCCCCTGTGTGATCCCTCTGCAGGTACTTCGACAGCATCGGCCAGCCAATGGGCGGTTCGATAGTTGACCGCGACGCAGCTGCCACGTGGCTTACTCGCGTCGCGTCGTGGGACGAGGAGGCGCTCGCTTACTCGAAGATGTCTCTCGGCGCCGCGCAGTCCGTCACGCGCTTCCGCCGCCGCGTGTGCGTCGAGCGCATGGCGCGGAATCCCGACCTCGTCAGCGCGTATGGCGCTTTGCTCGCGCGTTACCAAACGCTGGAAGCAACGATTGCGGCGGGACACGCGGCGTCGACGTCGCTCCGTCAACTCGAGGCGCTTCTTGACGAAGCGGAACGGACTCTGTCGGACCCCAACAATGTATTCCTGGCGGGGAAGGAAGCGTCCATCGCGGACGTCTGCTTTGCACCGGTTCTCGCCTCAGTAGACCGACTAGGACTCTCCCAAAAGCTGCTTAGAACGCGTCCGGCTTTAGCGGAGTACAACAAGCGGATGAGTCGGCGGCAGAGCTATCGGACTGCTGTGGTCTGGCCGACCAGCCTTGCGGCGAAAGTCGCCAACGTGCCTGCGATCGTCGCTGCGGGGTGCAGGCGACTGAGCAGGCGGTACTAGCTTTCGGGCCAACAGGAAGGGCTTTTTAGCCAACCAATTGGCTTTTCGAAACGGTTCTAAACCCTGGTTGTATATCATACGGATATGTCATGCTGGGTGCGGCAGACTGAGCAGCAGGTAACTAGCCTGAGGCCAAGAATTTTGTCTCTTCTCCATGGAGGGTGGAAAGTGGTGTTTCTGTTGTCAACCTGAGCAGTCGGTAACTAGCCTGCTGCTCGACAAATTCTGTTGTCAACCATGTGTGGCGGCCACGCAAATCATCCTACACAAGCTATGTGCTTGCCTGCCATGGC